CTTATGTCTAATGGCTTTTGAGAAGATGAAACCTGGCAAACACGCAGTTGCTTTTCTTAAAAGAAAAAGTAAATTCAGCAAACCAAGAAGAAGAAGAAGGCCAATAAACCCTAAGTCTGCTGGCTTTTGGGAAGATAATTTCAACCCCAATTTCAACCCCATTTCAACCCTATGTCTACTGGCTTTTGGGAAGATGATTTCAACCCCAATTTCAACCCCATTTCAACCCTATATCTACTGGCTTTTGTGAAGATGAAACCTGGGAAACACCCAGCTGCTTTCCTTAAAATAAACCCCAAACTTGAACCAAGAAGAAGGCCAACAAAACCATTTTGGGAAGATGATTTCAACCCCAATTTTGGGTGAAACTGAAGCTGTGGTGAGTCCTGGTGGTTTCCAGGACCACCTTTTCCCACTTACCCCAGCTCCATCCCCACCTGCGCGCAGGGATGGAGGGAYATTCCCCCCCGTGTACGCAAAAGTGATTACAGGCAGCAGCCTGGGGGATTTGTTTGGGAACAATGTTGTAATGAGCCTGAGGATAATCTGCTGCCCAGAGATGGGGATTGTTCCCAGAGGGATGGCAGCCACAAATTAGACAGTCACATCGGGTTATTTCCGGCGAGTTAACTCCCCACACCGCGCCCCCGACAAATCCGARATGTTTCAGGTGGGGACACGGCCGGTGCGAGGATTTTTAACGACCCAAAGAGGTGGAAATTCATTACTCTGATAAGGCTCTGGGAGTTGGTGGWTGGAGCTTCAAACGTGACCAGTCCCTGGAGAAATCACACCAATGTTCGAGCTAATCTTCTTATAAACACTGTTGTGGGGTTTTTTTTTTTTAATTTTATCCGACATGTGTCAAGCAGGACTGCTAAGCCTATTACATCTCCAGGGAGGTTGGTGCTGTCTCTTCTTCCTATCCCCCCACATCTGAATGCTGCTCGTCTCCTTTTTGGCTCCTTTGGACATTTCTCCGTGGTCACAAACCGATTTTTTTATAATTAGCACTGAGGAAAATAAAAACCTCTGTGGGTTTGGAGGCTCAGGTGAGATAAGCAGCCAGGTGCCAGCTTGTCTTCCAAAATTTTTGGAGCTTGCAGGCTTCTGAAACGAACATAAAACTTGCTGGACAATCCCTTCTCCCTGGCTCATTTATTTTTCTTTCCAACAAACCCTCAGAATAAGTAGATAAAGAGTCACCTGGATATTTTTGAGTCCTTTGGGACAAAATAGTTCAAGTTATTGGGAAATGCCCAGTTTGTGAGTTTGCAGGCAGAAATGGGCAGGGAGGGATCAGACCACTGGAACAGAAGGTTTTAAAGGACAGGGTGAATACGAGCCTGCCTTGAGCTCCAGGTTGAGGGATACACGTTGGTGAAAGGACATTTTTCCTGAGACCTTTCTCCCCACTCTGGTGGGAAGTTCATAGGGAACTAAAAAGGGTGGAAAAAAACCCCCAAAACCTATACAAATTTGTACTGTAAATGGTCATTTTCTGGAGGAAGCATCAAGCCCTCTCCAGGAGAAATAGGAACACCCAAGGAGTGAGAAACTTTTGCGCACTCACTTGCACAAACATCACCCACGTTCACTCTGGAGACTTGGCTACAGAAAATCAATGGCAGCTTATCAGCCTGCAGCAGAATGGGGACAATTAAACATTTCCCTCTCTGCCTTCCTGTACTGGATTGAAGTTGTTCTCACCTGTGGATGGAGAGAAAGAAACATCCGAGCCAGCATCTCTCATGGAAAGTTATCTCCAACACAGGCAGCGGCCCAAATTACTTCCATGCCTAATCTTACCTTCTTTGTCCTTTAAAAAAAAAATTWAAAAAAAAAMCGAAAAAAAAGCAAACCACCACATTGAACCAAAAAAAAGGAAGATACTGTGCATTCAACTGCTATTTTTTTTGTTTTCCTTGCACACAAACTTCTGCACTCATGGAAAAACTCCTTCCCCAAAAGCTGGGCTTTTGTCATCTGGTTTTTCTCTGGCACAGAGCAAAAYTTTGCCTTAGCCCAAACCCACAATRGGGCCTCAGTGGCAAAATTGAGCCTGGATTTGCAGCTGTCCCCCAGATCTGTGCTGGGCTGAGGACAAGGTCAGTGATCTGCCACGAACCCAAAATGCTGGCACCCAATTCCACGGGAGCCAAAGGGAGTTTGAAGCCCCAAAGCAGCACCTAAACATATGCCTGTTTGGCTTAATGGATTTTACTGAAAACCAGCTGCTCCAGCCCCAAATCCTTAAGGGGAATGGAAAAACATTGAGATAAAGCAAATAATTAACCCAGTGCCCACTCTGACTACCTCCATGTGTCGGTTGGGGTGGATCACAATGATTTCTGTCAGGACATCGCCCCCCCCCAAGCCCCTGGCTGGTCCTACAAGCATTTCCCATCTTCTGGGGACTCAGGCTGGAAGCAGCAGCTTCCTTTTTATTTATGCAATTCCTTATCTGCCCCAGTCAAAATGAACAAGGCAGATAATCTGGRTTTTACAGCCCTTTGAAGTCACCAGCAAAGACTTTTAACTCGAGCGAGCGGGAGCCCAGGCCTCCATCCACCTGATCCGCAGGCATTCCCAGGGATTTGGGCAACCTGGGCTCCATCCACACGGACCTGGCTTGGGGTCTGAGCCCTGCTTTGGCRGGAGATCAAGCGGATTTCCTACAACCCTCCCTCCTTATCGCGCATCAGCCCCGTCCAGATGTCAGGCGCTCTCCCTTCCGCTCGCAATCCCCCTTTTCTATCTCCGTCCATCTCCCTGTTGAATTGCTGACCAGACCTTCCTGGCAGCCTTTTCAAAAGTGGAGGAGATAAAAAAACAATCAATGGAATATTTCAAAATATCAGGGAAAATAAGGAGAAAAAAATTCAAATAGGAGGGAGAAGAAGTGCACAACGCTGTTGCTGTGAACAGAGCCCAGACATTGGGGTTTAAATTGGGTTTAAAGCAAGTGTTTTAACTCCCTGCTGGCAGGAAAAGGGCTGGGAATGGTTTGGGCTGCCAGGGAGCTGCCTCACGAGMATCTCTGGTACCTCCAATATTGCCCTTGAGAGTGCTCAACATGCAGCCTGAGAAAAGGGCAAACCTGGCTGCAGCCACCCCAAAACTCCAGCGTGGCATCCCATGCCCAGCACAGAAAGCTGGCATCGTGTGGATGAGATTTTTTATTTTTTGATGGGCAGGAAAAGGCMATTTATCTCCCTCATCCTTCCTGCCACTTCCTGCAGTGCTCCAGCAAAGCTGTAGAAGAGTTTCACCTTTACTTTTTAAACAGTGACACCTTTAAAGAGCACAAGCCTCTGGATTGGGGCTGAGTTCCCTCCTCTGACTGCCATCACCTCGCTTAGGAGATGAGAAGAAAATTAATAAAWATAAAAGAAGCCTCCTGCACCTTAGAATGACATTAAAAGCTACTATGAAGATAAACAAGGGAAAAAAATGGGAATTAAAGGGGAAGACCCTGATCGCTGGGGCAAGAACTGGCGGGATGGAGCTTTCCCAAGGCTCCAMACCAGGGTGTGAAGAGGGAAAAAAATATCCAGGAAATACCTTTAGCAAAGCCCCAGGGTCATCAAGTGAGAAATTAAAGTGATGGAATAATCGTGATGTGTCTAATGTTAGATTATTCCATAATAAATGATAAAGTTTCCTGGTCTAAGAGTGAGTAGAGAACTGCATCACAAAATTATGATATTTAATTTCACTACAGGGTTTTGGATCCAGTCCTCTGGAGCAACCTGATCTAGTRGRAAGTGTCCCTGCCSATTTCAGRGCTGGAASTGGGTGSTCTTTAAGGTCCCTTCCAACCCAAACCATTCAAGAATTCCATGCTGTAAGCACCTATCCAGTCCTTATCTCTGGGAACACATTCCAAGTCACAGCTCCAACTTCACTCTTCACCATGGCATAGCTTCCATCATCCTAAAAATATCRGGGAAATTTTTAGCATTGCATTTGCCTTACATTGTGCTGCAGGCCTTGTTCCCCTCTGATAAACAAAAAGGGGCCACAGTTCTGGTGCTCCCCTGTGGGAGCATCTCCTCCATGTGGGAATCAGCTTTATGGGTGTTCTTGGGGAGCCCAGGAGCGGGAATTTTGGGGAAGGAAGCCTGGGATGCCCTGGAAGTTCCTGCAAAGCAGCAGGAACCGCATTTCATCTGCAAATCAAAGGAGTTTCTCCCTCTAATTAACCCAGGGTCCATCCCAGCAATGGAGTCAGGCTCTCATTAGCCAAGTCACGGCAAAAATTCCCACTCCAGCTGCCTTGCAGTGGGATTCCATCCCTGAGTGGCCTCCAGGAGCTCTCCTCTGCTGGGTGCCCACCCTGAGATAGCACCTCGGCCATCTCCTGGGGTACCATGATCTCCTGTTAGATCCTGTGAAACATTCCAGACTGAAAAGATGCAGGAAATGTAGGGACCAAGCCAGGTCCCCTAAATTTAGGGATGGAATTAAGGAAATCCATAAYTGTTGCAAAGGAAAGCAGGTCAGCTATCCTGACACAAGATACATAACACAGCATCATCCCAAAATCTTGGATAAAGACCCTAAAAACCCTGGAAGCGATGTTGTTATCCCCATCTCGATTCAGGGATGTTTCTCATGGATTTTCAAACAGAAATGGTTAAAACCAGTGAACTTTTTGCTTCAGTAGGACCAAAACACCCAGCTTTCCCCACCGTGGGCTAAAGGGAAGAAATGCAGAAGGAAAGTTAATCAGGCTGAGATCAAAGTGAAAAACCCAAACAAGCATCAAACAAATCCCATCCAAACCTACACAAGTGCAGAGATTGCCATGACACCTTCCCCCCATTCCCACTCACTTTCATCCCCCTGACCTTCTCTGCTCCAGCTGGGAGGGAGTAGGAATGCTCCAAGAAAGCTATTCCTGCGTTATTTTTAGCAAAGCCAGAAGAAAAGTGACTGGGAATAATCCATGAAAGCAAGCTTTCACCTTGATTTTCAGYCTCTGGAGATTTCSACAGCCTCGACAGCAATCACAACTYAACCACAGGTGCAGRAAACAYYGAGTGATACCAAGGGSACAGATTGTGCTCCACATTGCAAACCTGGTGAACCATCCAAGGAAGACTGGGGAAAACACCTTCCCCCACCAAACTGGTGGCCACACCACAGCAGGGAGAGCCAGGTTTGGCTGGGTTTCAGCCCAGCAAGAGAATTTGACATTACAATTGAAAGCATCCAAAAGAGATGCGGATTTTGGAATCTTCCACGAGTGTCTTGTGGGAAAAGCCACTCCTTCCCAGCCAGGATTCACAAGAACTCTCCTCTCACAAGGCACCAAGTTCAGCCCCCGTGTCTGGGCTCCAGGATGGTTTTTCCTCAGAGCAGGATGAGTCCCTGGCATGGAGCATTCTCCTGACCACGGCAATTCTGGGTTTGTGGCAATTCTTTCTGGTTTTGTGCCAGCGCTTTGGGGAAACCAGCACAGATTGGTTTGCATCCCGTACAGCCAGACCTGCCACTGCCTAAAGAGGATTTTTGTCACAGTTGGTGGCTTTTCTGCACCAGCCCAACAGCAAGAGGCCACGCTGAGCACCCCCACTGCTGAGAACAGTGCTGGGGAAAGGAGCTGGGCTGAGAGGACACCAGATTTCCAGTGCTGTCATCACCTCCTCGTGGTGGGAAAGAGCTGCTCTGGACCAGAACCAACCCCTTGGTTGGGGACAGCAGCTGCAGACCTTTCCCTTTCCATCAGGAGTTTTCCTCAGAGTCACCCTCTGCCTCACACATGGACCAGTGCTGGAGCTCCCCAGAGAGCCAAAAACCCCATCTGTGCTCCCCTCACCCCAACTGGGAACAGCAGAGCAGCTGCAGCCAGCAAGTGCAGAGGCACTTAAAAATAAAAAAAATCCCGCTTTGCTGAGTTTTAAAGCATTTCCTTGGATCGAAGAGGCTCTGGTGAGCGTTGTCATGGCAGGGGATATTTATTGCCATCTCAGGAAATGTTTCATTATTCTTTGGGAAGTGGTGGCTGTGAATCCCAGTCTGTCTGCCCGGCCATAACGGGGACCATCGGGCAGATGATTTCCGAGCTCTGCTCAGGAGTGAAGCGTCACCTCCCAGCTCTGGGGTTGTTGTGCCTGCAAACCCCATGGCTGGCTCCCTCTGTGGCAGGGAACAAGCTCCAGACCCCAAAAACCCAGCTGGATGAGGGGCTGTTCCCCATGGATTTGCACAGAGGGAAAACACCACGAGCGCTTCTGCACACGGTTTAAATACTCACAGGAAAAACAATGAGCTGAACTCCRTGCTTGGCAAACAAAGCCATTCCAGAGGCTGTTTCAGTCTGCTCAGAACCCTCAGGAAGCAGCTCAGCAGGTCTGGATGGAGGTGGGAAAGGCAGAGAGTCGGAGGCACCAGGGGATGGGACCATCGGGGACACGAAGCGGGTCCTGCTGAGCCTCTGGCAAAGCTCCCTTTGTTTCCTGGAACTGCTCTGGAACACAATGGGGACAAAAAACCATTTCATCCCCGGGGTTTCATTTTCCCTGTGAAACCCTAACCACTTTCCAAGCGTGTGCAAGCTTCCAGTAGCTAAAATTTCCCATGGTGAGTCCTACTTTAACTGGCTGCTGGGTAAAGAGTTTGTTTTTGCTTCTTGGAACTTCTCGAGGTAACCTGGGATAGTGGAAGGTGGAATTGGATGTCACTTCCACCCCAAACCATTCTGGGATTCTGTSATACCTCTGATCCCAAGTGTTTCTCAAACTAAGCCATCATTGCTGATTCATTCTGCAGTTTTTCAAATGATTTCACATCCGGCCTTGCCTTTATCAATCCTTGCCTTCTGTGGATAATTTTCTAGGTTTCTTCCCATCCATTTTTTTGTGGGCTACTCACAAATTACTCAAGGCAGGAGATATCAGACATTCATTAAGCAGCACAACAACATTYCCCCTTTCAGCCTCTCTCACCTACCCTTTTTTTTTTTGGACTACTATGGACCAGAAGTGTCATTTTGATAGATATTTCTAGCACAACTCTCAGAACTCCTTCCTGAGCAGCAACAGCCAGCTCAGAGCCCGATGATTTCCCCCCTGTGCATTGCTTTTCATTTAGCAGCCTTGAATTTCATCTGCTGTTTTATTATCCGCTCACTAAATATCGGAAGGTCCTTCTCCCATCCTTGGAGATCRGCTGTGTTTTCATCTCTTTGGTGTTAACTGAGCATTGCCACCAAATATTCTCATTCTTTTGGTTATTTTCTCACCTGGACTCCCCAAATTCAGGGGGCTGATACACAAAAAAACGTCAATTTTCAATTGTCACTAAGTGCAAAAGCATCCTTCTCAAGGTTCCACAGGGCAGAGGGTGCAGGTGACAAAGTCACACCTACCAATGTGCCCAGTGGCTTTATTAGACAACAAGGATGTTGAATTTCAGCATAAACACCAGTGAAATGGGAAAAGGCCTCTCTTAAACGAGCAGCCTTTTCAAATTCCTTGTAAATTCTCCCCTGGAGCTGTAACTGTGGTGTTTACCAGCGGCTCTGTGAAAGTGGGTGATTTCAGAGTTGGGAGACAAAAACGAGATGTTTCAGTTTCCCAGCCCAGGGGAGCGAGTCAGCAGGGTAAATCGAGTATTTTAGGATTGAAAGGGGCTCCCAGCATGGAGGTGCTGGAGCTTTAGACCTGCTGGGGCCACATCATCTAAAATCAGGCTTGGATGGGGTTTTTTAGTTATTTTTTTGTTGTTTTTTTTTGTTGTTGTTGTTTTTGTTTCTTTGTTTGCTTTTTCATGTTAAAAAAATATATCCAGCAACAATGGTTTCTTTAAAACATCAGCGGGAAAAAGCTGTCCCCAGCAGCACATCTGGAATAATCCCTCCAGATGTGCATCCCTGCCKGATGAGGGCTCTCACTGGAGGGATGAGCACAGAAAACCCCTTTTTTCCCAGTGACAAAACATGCCACCAGCATGTCCAGCAGGAATGGAGCAYAGGAAATGGAAATGGCACATGGAAAATGCTCTACCAAGCTCTCGGCTTCCCTGGTTTTCAGAAAAAGCTGTTTCCCAAACCCTTTTAGCCACAGGGCCACAGCCACCTTGGAAAAGTGCCCRTTAAAATGAGCCATGGGCCCTCCATAAGCCATTCCTCAAAGCCAGGGGGGAGAAAAAACAGTTTATTAAGGGCTAAAGGATGGGTTTGCTCCATAATGAACCTTCCTGCAGTATCGAAGAAAAGCCATGTCTCGCTTCCCTCTCCTAATAAATGGCTTCTTTAGAGTTTAATTAACTTCTCCCCGCTCTTCTTTTGTGGCAAAGTGTCACCCTGACCAGGAGACGAGCTCTCTCTCTGTTCCTTTATCTGGGAGAGCACTGGCCTGCCAGATAAACTGCTCTGCCTAATTTTCTGCACCTTTTTCTCTTCCCGCTCTGCGTATTCCAGGGAGGGAGGCAGGAACAGTAGGAAGCCATACTTTGGGCAGTTTTTGGGATTGGGATCCTTAAAATACAACATGGATTTGTATGGGAATGGGGACCCACCTCACAGACCCACCAGAAAGTGGGTCAGGCTCTCTGCCTGTTCCTTTTGTTTCCTCTGGAAAACCAACCTGGAGGAAACAATTTCTGCCCTTGCAGGGTTTTGTGTTTTCAGCAGCGCTCGTCTGTCCCCCGTGTGTGTGTGTTTATAAATATAGCTCAGAATCGATAGGAGTGAGGTTAGGTCACTGTGTTTCTGAGAAATGGGCTCCTGGAAGCTCACAAACCTGAGCAGCCCCTGCTCCATCCCACAGTGCTCCAGGACCAGCTGCGTGTGCCAAGGTGAGCAGGGCAGCTCTCCTTTAAAAAGGACAAATTTGGGCCAAGTCAAGAGGGACCAGCACAAAATTCTGCTCTGGCTTTTCAGCTCAGACCTCAGCCCTTCYCATTTTGGGGTGGGATGAGGCAGGAACTCATGATCTGGAGGATCTTTTCGACACAAATCCTGGGCTCCTTCTTGGGAAAAGGAAAAAAAAMCAAAAAAAAAGACAGGGACCTGAGTGGCGCCAGCTGATTAATTGTGCCAGGCCAGGAGCAGCCAGGGACTCTGGTGACACCAATGCAGTAATGGTCTCCAGCACACAGACAGTCCCAGAGGACGTGTCCTTCCCACCCAGAGGAAATTAATTAATGGTGGCGATAAATAAACCGCTCCTGATGAATGACAGCGTCCAAAGGAAAAATAGGGGAAAAGAGAGCGTTTTGGAGCACATTTCTGGCGAAGGGATGGACTGGGAAGGGCTCACACTCACTTCTTTTGGATGCAGGAGAAGGATGGGTGGCAGGGAGCATCCCAGGGGAGCAGCAGCAGCTGTGGTGACTATTTTCTGTGCTCAGCACCAGCTCTGCATCCACCCTCAGCTGAAATCCAAGGACTCCTGCACAGCCACCATCCCATTTGGTGTGCCCTGCCCCTGCCCCGTGTATCCCACTGCTCATCCCAGCTCCCACAGCCACAAACMCCGTGTGGGGGTGACACTGGTCCCGTTAATCCATCACAAACAGTCCCTGAATGACCACAGCGCTGATTAGCGGGRCCTGGCACACCCATGGCTCATCCCAGCCCTGCCAGGGCATTTCCTGGGATCCCCACCCGGATCAGACCAGCAGCATCTCCCAGCAGCTCCTAATTGGCACGGGACAAAGTGCCTGCCACGCGCTGGTCAATAGCAATTAGCATCGTCATTAATGAGCGTGTGCTGGCAGCAGTTAGCTAATTACCTGAACCAGGGCAGCGGGGAGAGGCATCAAACCCTGCAGAGCTGCAGGAGAAGGAGCTGCCCTGGGATAAGGGGGATAGGAGAGAATTTTGGGAGCGAGTGAATGGAGGTGATCAGAGGGAAGGAACACCCATCCTATGGGAAAAGGCTGAGAGGATTGGGATTGCTCAGCTTCAGGGAGAACTCAGAGCCCCTTCCAGTGTCTAAAGGGAGTTCAAGAGACCTGGAGAGGGACTTCAGGCAAGGGCAGGATGAGGGGGAATGGCTTCACACTGACAGAAAGCAGGGTTAGATTGCATTCTGGGGAGAAATTGCTCCCTGGGAGGGTGGGCAGGCCCGGCACAGGGTGCCCAGAGAAGCTGTGGCTGCCCCTGGGTCCCTGGCAGTGCCCAAGGCCAGGGCTTGGAGCACCCTGAGATAGTGGAAGGTGTCCCTGCCCATGAAAGGGAGTGTAATGAAATGATTTTAAATTTCCCTTCCCACCCAAACCATTCCCTGATTCTGTGATTCYGTGCCAGCCCTGACATAAAAGTCAGATAAACTTCCACCAGCCAGGCTCTGCCACACCAATTCYAAGCASAAAAAGAAAAAAAAGCAACCAGAGTTGCAGGCTTTGATGAGCATCAAATTAAAACTGTGCACAGGGTCTGTTTTGGTTCCCAGGCACAAGCTGGTTTCAGCTCYCCCCTCTGCCTGCTGTCTGATAACAGTGGTACCCACGGGTTAAGCTTAGCCTGGGGGTGAGATTCGAAAAA